CAGGCTCCCTGTTGAGCAGGGAGCTCGATGTGGGGCTTGATCCCAGGACCCTGAGATCAAAGGCAGAGGCTTAACCCACTGAGCCACCCAGATGCCCCAAAAGAGTAGCATTTTGAGGGACGCCTGGGTGGCTCAGTTGGTTGAGCAGCTGCCTTCGGCCCAGGTCATGAACCCAGGGTCCTGGGATAGAGTCCCACATCGGACTCCTTGCTCGGCAGGGAGCCTGCTTCTCCCTCTGCCTCTGCCTGCCATTCTGTCTGCCTGTGCTCGCTCTCTCTCCCTCTCTCGCTCTGACAAATAAATGAATAAAATATTTAAAAAAAAAAAAGAGTAGCATTTTGAAAGGACCAGCATAACTACAGTGTGGAGAATAGCTTGGAAGAGGCTAGACTAGTTAAGAAGTGAGAGATGGTAGAAACTTGAATAGAGCTGGAGTAGAGATGAAGTAAGTAGACGCTCTGGAGAGCTGTTTGGAAATCAAGTGTACAGAACTTCGTGGTGAGTTAGATATACAGAGTATCGAAAAGGAGAGGTCAAGAATGATTCTCTGGCTTCTGCCTTGCACAACAGAAAATAGAGAACTCAAGAATCAGGTTCAGTGGAGAGGGAGAAGATGATGAGTTTTGGTCATATAGAGTTTGAGGTGCCTTTGTAGTCTTCTAGACAAAATATTAAATAGACAATTGGATATATAAAGCCAGAGCCCATGGACAGAAGAATATGGGTGTCTTTAAGATGTTGGTTATGTGATCACTTAAATGGCCATCATGAATGATATTGTCTAGATATGGGAGGAAGAGTATTTGGTGAAATGCCCAATGTAGTTTCCCATAAAATATGGTTCTTCCTGTCATGTACAGATGACCCTTCCTTCCTCAGTGTAACAGATGTTTTACTATTTTCATCAATGTGGCTATTCTTTTTCTGTAAAGGATATGCACATAAATGGAGATCATGGTGTATTAGACAATTGTTTTTCTAGCCATGATTTTATAGTCTGCTGTGGTCCAGGGAAGAAAAACAAGTTTGAAATAAATAAATGTAGATTCTAGAAAAGGAAGCAAGTGAATTGATCCCTGAACATCTGCCACAGGGTCTATGTCCTTGGAGAGGCTTTATAACATTGTCGCTGCACAGATATTCTTTGGGCTTTTTCTCAATTAAATAGGTTGTTTCCATGGGTCATTTCAGGTAACAGTCCACTGGTATAGCTCTTTTTTATGAAATGATTTCTCCAGTCTCAAAAGCAACTTTTATAGAATAGCTTATTTATATACTGGGGATTTCTATGGTCAGAAGTTTGTTACTTGTAGAGTCAGAGATTAATTCAGGATCCAGGGAGCCTGCAAAAATACCATTAGAGAGCAGTCAGTAAGAAAAGATGCTCCAAAGAAACTGAGAAAGTCTGAGATGGTAATGTATGGCTCAGTAATAAGGATAGCAGTGCCTGTTCAGGAGGACCAGGCTGCAGGGGTGCCCAGTGATTGAGGAAGCACAGTCAGTGGCCTAGACCCTTGTAACTCCAAATGTTGTCCTAAGACCAGCAGCATCAGCACCAGAAATGCAGAATCTCAGCTTCTGTTCCAGACCAAACATATCAGAACCTGCATTTAATAAATGAGATCCCTAGGTGATTCTTAAGCACATAAAAGTTTGATAAACACTGCTGTACTACTCTTTCAAGAAGTGTAGCGATAGTAGGTTTAAGAGAGGATGAAAGGAGAGCAAGGTTAGAAATGTAAATGCAAGAGAAAGAATACCCCAAGAAGAAAAGGCCTAGAGAAGGGAAAAGATCAAGAGGACTGATTAATTTGGAAGAAAAAAAAAATGGGACTCTTCCTTTGTTGACAAAAATAGGAAAGAGGAATGGAAGAAGTGTGAGACCAAAGACCGAAAACTGAGAAAACTCTGTGGGCAATGACCCAGTTCTCCCCAGTAGACAGCAAAGTCAACCACTGAGGAGAAGAAAGAGAGGTTTTAGGCCAAACAATACTCCATAGTTTAAATTCAGAGGGCTCTAGTTTAAATGACATTTACTTTTGGTTAACACTCCTTTGCATTCTTTCCTATAACTCCTTTAAATAAGTATTCATTAATCTATTAAAATATTAAAACTTCACTGACCATTTACAATAAAACTTCCATTTCTGTAAGTAGTTGATGAGCCATGAACTTCACTAAGGCCAATATTATATACCTTGATGACTTATTAAATAAACATCATGGTTGCAAAAATGTATAAAAATTTGAAAGAAGTTATATTAAAAAAAATCTTTACCTGCAGTGTTTATGTCTGCAAAGTTTGCTAAATCGATAAAATGATCTGAAAAGTTCATCTCAGTCAGATATATTAGTGATTTACTTCATTGGTTTTCTGAAGGCCATTTATCATGAAGTAAAGCATCTTCAGAATGAATGGTGGAAATAAAAAATTTGATGTGCCTGCCTCTCAGCTAAACTAAATATTTGATTTATAAGACACAAATGAACAAACCACTATGGCCTGTCATGTTTTTCCAGTTTCTAATTTATTCAACCTCTGCTCAATATTGATCCTGACAAGCAGAGTAACCCAAAGATAAATTTATTCACTCCACAGTTTAGTCAGAAACAAGCCAAAAATTATAGATTTTCCCAGGCAGATGATGACAAGCAGTCAGGGGGATGACAAATGGCTGTCTTTAGATTTAGTTAGGACAGTTGGACCAGACATTTCCAATAAAGATTGGAGCATGCTGGTCAAATACAGGTTCATCAGTGGCCATCATTAACTGTAGAGCAAGCACTGCCAGTTACTGCAGGCGCCTACATAGGAGGTTGGGCACCAGCCCTGCATGGGAAATAGAATCAGTTCCTCGGTATTTTGCAGCACTCCTCTAAGTGATAGCCTGACATGATCATTTATCAAACAGAGACTGTCCAGAAAACTGTCTGCTCCCTTTAGTAACACTGAAGGGCAGGAAAGCAAAAGCATTTTATTAAAGACAGGAAGGCAATGAACTACCAGAGCGTATCCAAAGGGTAATCATATTTCAGCAAAGGATTAGTTTAGTCTTAAATAAACACACACTGGAGGGAGTATGTCGCGGGTCATTTATCAACTGAGGAATAATTAACAAAACTCTACAGGATTCTTTTTATCTATATACATTTTAAGTTTTCTTCTTATTATTATTATTACTCAACTTTTGGGTGATGGCATCATATTCAACACTACAAAAACCCAATGCACAATTCTTTCCTTAGAGGTCTTAGACTAAGAGAAATACTTAAATGAAACTCTCACATAAAATAATCATGGCTGTATCTAATGCTGTTGAACAAATGCTGTGGAGAGGAAATAATCCAGGGCCCAAGACTGAAAGATGAAGTTACAACTTTTGAAGACAGCTTTCTTATAAGAAATCAACTACTACTCAGTGAGTCAGAAGCTTATTCTTCCCAACAACAATTTTTACACTCTTGATCAAAATTAAGAGAAAGGTTATTAGATAAGAAGTGGTAGGACAGACAAAAAGAAAATTAACATATTTATTAGTTACCTGCTTTGTTCCAGGCACTTTATTTATATGTGACAACTAATCCTAACTTTCATACTTTATAAGTGAGAACATAGACTTGCCTGAGGTCATACAGTAAACAGCAGGGCCAGGAAGATTGGGTTTGTCTATTTTTTTTAAAACCCCTATATTTTTTTCACAAATTACTTTTTTGGATATCTGAGAGTCTAGTACAGAACTTAGCCCATGATTCAATATGTATTTTGTTGAATAATGAAGTAGGTAGAACCGGAAATATTTTTACCATTTTATATAAGAAGACATTGGTCTCAAAAAAATGAAGAGAACTACCAGGTGCTCTGCAGTGGATACTAGATACCCACCCAGCTGTCCTTGTAATTATTCCCCTAAAATACCATTCCTTCATGTAGATAGAGGCATATTCCTGGATGTTCCAAATTTGTTACTTCCATGATGTGGAAGAGTTCTGTGGGGATTTTTTTTTCCCCCATGTAAGTTCTACATCCAACATGGGGCTTGAACTCACCCCCCTGAGATCAAGAGTCATATGCTCCACTAACTGAGCCAGCTAGGTGCTCCTTGTGGGGATTTTTAGTATGTGGAAGGGAACTGTTGTCAGCACTCATAGTAAAATAAATAAATAAATAAATAAATAAATAAATAAATAAATAAATATTTTCTGGGGTGCCTACACCTAGGTGGCTCAGTCGGTTAAGTGTCCAACTCTTGACTTTAGGCTCAGGTCATGAACTCAGGGTTGTGAGATCAAGTCCGGCACTGAGCTCTGCACTAGGTATGGAGACTGCTTAAGATTCTCTCTCTCTCTCTCTCTCTCCCCTCCCCTCCCCCTCTAAAAGCCAAAACTAAACACAAAAAAATTATTTTCTGAAATCTAAAGAATAAATGCAGTCTTATAAAAAAAAAAAGTTTTCCAAAAATGGAAAAATGAAATATCTAAGTAACAAGAAACATGGATCAAGCAAAGAATGAGACAGAAGGTACAAATAAGTTAAGTAGATATTAAGCTTTGAAGGTGAAGAAATGATACCAGGAAAAAAAATACCAAGCAATGCACTGCCAATTACTTTCAGCTTTGCAATTAAGAACATGTATGAATTAATCTATACTTTGTATTTCCTAAAATTTTCCTTTATATCCTATAATTTTGGTCTTGGCTTGAGGAGAACAAATGGAAGAATCATAGGTGCTTGCCTGTTGCTATTCTTCAGAATTTTCATTAGCTTTGTAATTCTCACCACCTTATTCTAAAGAAAAGTTATTCCCCTAGATGTATACAAGATCAATTAGTAGTATAGACCATTTTATTCAAAAAAGATTTATGGTACACCTTCTAAGTACCTAGAAAAACAGTAATTAGCTAGAAGAGCAATAATTACCTTTAAAAACAGTTAACTGGTATGAAAGAAATATTGATGATTATGAAATACTTGTGTCTTGCTTTTCCTTCTCTAATTATAGGATTTGGAATTTTTACTGAACAAGTTGATGAAGCTGTGGAGACTGGATCTAAATGGAAATCCTGTTTGTCTCAAACCTAAATACAGAGACAGACTGATACTGGTGTCCAAATCACTGGGTATACATTTATATTATATTAATATAATTTTCCTAGAGAAAGAGAACTGGTTAACTTTTTAGTTAATTTAATATCAAGCCTTGAAAAATATAAATATGATATTTGAATCTATGAAAGTACAATATTAAGTTCAATATTTTAAGTAAAAGCAAATTTAAAATTGAGAAATAAAACATGAAAAATATCTGTTGTTCAGAAATAATTAAGGTACCACATACCCTTTCTTGAAAAATGTGTAGAACTTGCTGACCTTTTGTCAAATTCTCATTGGCACAAATCCTCTGAAGATCCCAAGAGACTCTTTAGTTCTTGGATTTGTAGATAAAAATTAATCAAAGTATTCATTGCTTGACAATTGCCCTAAGAACGTACAGGATTCCTCTCATTTGAAAGGGGAGCAAGGTAGGGAGTCCTTTATGAGATCCTTAGAAATAACAACAGCCTGATTATGGGAATACTAGACCACAGCTCTTCACTAGGGACCAAGTTACACAACATTAAAGAGACAAACACTGCCTTCTCACAAAGGAGATTCATGAAAGAGTTTCCTATATCTGAACTTCTGTGACATGATATACTTGGGTATAAAAAACTAATGCATGGCAAAACCATTTCAAAGCTCATAGCTGTAGTAAACCTTGATTGATCATGATGTTATGCTGTGGTTCTCTTGGGGGAGGAAGGGGTTAACAAAGGGTATATCACAAAAATCCAAGATTTAAAAAAAATACATAAAAATATGTTATTTTTCAAATACATATTCAAGGATCACACCCTGCCCCCCACACTTGACCCCACCAGCCAAAAGAAGGAAACAGAAAATACACCAGGAAAACAGTCATGCGTAATTTCTGTAAGTTGTGCAAATGAATCTACAATAATGTACATTCCCCCAGCTCTCCATCTCCTTCCCTTCCTGCTTACCGCACACAATTCTATTAGTCTACTTTCCTTAGGAAGCAGAGTAAATACAACTAATGTTAGATGCTTAAGGACCTTCCTATGTTCATGGAACCATTTCTGGGAACACTTCTCATTATATAGTACTATAGGTAATGATGTAAAGGATGTGAAGAGAAGGTACTGATTTCCAAATAAATAGGATTTAGTCAAAATTTTTTTAAAAATAAATCTTTCCTAAACATATTTTGCGATTATAAAATTAATACACATTTCCCTTTTTTTTTTTTTTATTTTAAGTAGGCTCCATACCCAATGTGGGGCTTGAACTTACAACCCTGAGATCAAGAGCCACAGGTTCTACCAACTAAGTGCGCTAGTCACCCCTAAAATTAATACACATTTCTTATAAAAATGCAGAAAATAAGAAAAGAATATTAATGTCATTCATAATCCCATCATAAATCTGCTGTTAACACTTTATTATATGTCCTTTCAGTCTTTCCTCTTTGGTTCTAGCTTGTCTTTTCTTTCAATCTTTTTTTTTTTAGATTTTTTTTTTTTTTTTTTTTTAATTTGAGAGAGAGAGAACAGGCAGAAGGAAAGGGAGAAGCAGGATCCCTGGTGAGCAGGGAGCCCAACATGGGGTTCAGTCCCAGGATCCTGGGATTATGATCCCAAGGCAGATGCTTGCAACCAACTGAGCCACCCAGGCACCCCTAGAACTTGTCTTATTTTCATGTGTTTTTTTTTCCTAAATGAAAAACCAAAACCAAAAATGAATTGAAGACTTGGTTTGATGTGTCCCAGTAAAGACTGAGGAAAGACATGTTTTGTAAATAACCCAGTCCTCACCAAACAGAATGACAAGCCACACATTTGGTTTACTTAGCCTGAGTGAAAACAAATTTTGTGTTAAGAACAACTCATTAAGGGATGCATGAATATGAATTGTTGGAAATCGTTTAAAAGAATGGGACTTTCTGAACTGGCAGTATACCCACAAATGATGATGCTGTGTGGGCAATGTGAATTTTTCAAGATCTGAAATCTATAAAGTGAACAGGCAGCATTTCTTTTCCTCTATTTATGCCTTGCTGGCTTTAAAGGGTAGAACCAGACCCAGGGTAAGGATTCCAGTATTTTGCATATTTGCAGTATTATAGCAAGGACACCAAAATACCTTATTAATACTGAAGTGTTCATAAAATTCAACACCAGCCCTCACCCAAAAACTGAACCTATTCTAAACATAATTTCTTTCACCTTAATATATTTTAAAAGTTCTTTCTCCTTCAGAGACAATTAAGTTAATTTATTTTTAACTTCTCCAATGAAATTCTACAAAACAATAAAATGTGCCTTAAAGTTTATAATTAAAAAAATTACACTGTCAGTTGATTTTCTCAATAAAATCCTTATTAATTTCTTCATAATCTAGTGTGACCATTAACAGTTACCAAAAGCAATCTTTAAAGCCATATTGACACAGTAACAATGAACCATCGGAAAAGTGAATTAAGAAAACAATAGCACAAAAAAGTAAAATACCCGGGCACCTGGGTGGCTCAGTGGGTTAAAGCCTCTGCTTTCGGCTCTGGTCATGATCTCAGGGTCCTGGGATCGAGCCCCACATCGGGCTCTCTGCTCAGCAGGGAGCCTGCTTCCTCCTCTCTCTCTGCCTGCCTCTCTGCCTACTTACAATCTCTGTCAAATAAATAAAATCTTAAAAAAAAAAAAAGTAAAATACCTAAAAATAAATTTAACTAGTAAGGTAAGAAAAAAAAAAAGGAATTGTATACTGAAAACCACAAGACACTAATGAAAGAAATTAACAAATGAATGGAAAGACATCTTATGTTCATGAACTAGAAAATTTAATATTGTTAAAATTTCCATAATACCTAAAGCAATCAACAAATTCAGTACAATCACTATCAAAATCCTAGTGGTGTTATCACAGAATTGAAAATTTCACAAAATTTCACTAAAATTCATATGCAACCACAAAAGACCACAAATAGCCAAATCAACCAAGGCATCACACTTCCTGATTTCAAAGTATATGACAAAATACAACAATCAAAACAATAGTACTGGTGTAAGACAGATATACAAACAGAATAGGATAGAAAGCTCAAAAATAAATCCATTCATAAATGGTCAAATGATTTTCAACAAGGGTACCAAGAATACACAGTGGGGAAAGGACAGTCAAATGTTGTTGGGAAAACTGGATATCCACATGCAAAAGAAATCCACTCAAAATAGATTATAGACTTAAACAGAAGACCTGAAACTATAAAACTAGAAGAAAACACGGGAGAAACTTCATGCTATTGGTCTTGGCAGTGATTTCATGGACATGACACCAAAAAACACAGGCAACAAAAATAAAAACAAACAAGTATACTACATCAAACTAAAAAGCTCATGCACAGTAAAGAAAATAGTCGAGTAAAAAGACAACCTACAGAATGGGAGAAAATATTTGCAAACTATGCATCTGATATGAGGTTAAGCTCTAAAACATATACAGAACTCCTACAACTCAACAGCAAAATCTAATAACTAGATTTTAAAATGGGCTAGGGATTTAAAAAGTCACATCTCCAAAGACCTACAAATGGCCAAAAGGTATATTTTTTAAATGCTTAATATCATTAATCAACAGGGAAATGCAAATCAAAACCACAGTGAGGTATCACCACACACCTGTCAGATGGCTGTTATCAAAAAACCAAAAGACAACAAGAGTTGGTGAGGATGTAGAGAAATTTGAACCTTGTACAGTACTGGTGGGGATGCAAAATGGTGCAGCGACTTTGAAAAACAGTATGACAGTGCATCAGAATTTAAGAATAAAACTACTATATGATCTAGCAATCCCAGTTCTGTATATTCATTCAAAAGAACTGAAATTAAGGTTTTGAAGAGATATTAGCACTTCTGTGTTCACTGCAGCACTAGTCACAATTGCCAAGATGTAGAAACAACCTAACTATCCATTGACAGATGAATGGATAAAGATAACATGGTAGATACATATACAATAAAATATTATTCAGCCTTAAAACAGAATGAAATTCTGCAATATGTGACAACATGAATGAAACTTGAGGACATTATGCTAAATAAAATAAGCCAATCACAGAAAGACAAATACTGCATGATTCCACTTATATGATCTACCTAAAATAGTCACATTCATAGAATCAAAGAGTAGAATGGTAGTTGCTAGAGGCTGGAGGAAGGAGTAAATGGGGAGTTACTAGTCAGTGGGTATGAAGTTTCAGTGAAGCTACATGAATAATCTCTAGAGGTCTACTGTACAAAGTTGTACCTATAGTCAAAAATAGGTATTTTTTTATAAAGAATTTGTTTACAAAGTAGATCTCATGTTAAATGTTCCTACCACATATATTAAAAAAAATCTTCTGCACAACAAAGGAAACAAACTAAAAGACAATCTACTGAGTCGAGAAGATATTTGCAAATGACATATCCAAAAAAGGATTAGTATCCAAAATATATAAGGAACTTATACAATTCAAGACCAAAAAACCCACAAATAATCAAATTAAAAAGTGGGCAGAAGACATGAACAGACATTCCTCCAGAGAAGACATACAGATGGCCAATAGACACATGAAAGATGTTCAACATCGCTCATCACTAGGGAAATATGAATCAGACCTATAATAAGATATCACCTCACAGCTATCAGAATGGCTAAAAACAAAAAACAAAAAAAACAAAGAAAAAAACAAGAAACAACAAGTGTTGGCAGAGATGTAGAGAAAAAAGAACCCTCGTGCACTATTGGTAGGAAAGCAAATGGGGCAGCCACTGTGGAATACCATCTGGAAGTTCATTAAAAAGTTAGAAAAAGAACTATGATCCAGTAATCACACTTCTGGGTATTTACCCCAAAATACACAAAAACTAATTCAAAGGGATACATACACCCTTATGTTTATTGCAGCATTATCTACAATAGCCATATTATTAAAGTAGCCCAAGTGTCCATTGATAGATGAATGGATAAAGAAGATGTGGTACATATATACAATGGAATATTATTCAGCCACAAAAAAGAATGAACTTTTGCCATTTGCAACAACATGGATGGAGCTCGAGGGTGTAATGCTAAGCAAAATAAGTCAGTCTGAGAAAGCAAATACCATATCACTTCACTCATATGTGGAATTAAAAAACCAAACAAATAAGCAAGAGGGGAAAAAAAAGAGAGAGAGAGAGAGAGAAACAAACCAAAAAACAAACACTTAACTACAGAGAAGAAACTGATGGTTACCAGAAGGGAGATGGGTGGAGGGATGGGTGAAATAAGTGAAAGGGTTTAAAGAATGTACTTATCATGATGAGCACTGAGTAATAAATACAATTGTTGAATCATTACATTGTACACTTAGAATTAATCTAACACCATGTGCTAACTAGTTGGCATTAAAATTAAAAAGTTAATAATTTTAATTAAAAAGCGCCTGGGTGGTTCAGTGGGTTAAAGCCTCTGCCTTTGGCTCAGGTCATGATCTCTCAGGGTCCTGGGATAGAGTCCAGCATCGGGCTCTCTGCTCAGCGGGGAGCCTGCTTCCCCCTTCTCTCTCTCTGCCTTCTTCTCTGCCTACTTGTGATCTCTCTCTGTCAAATGAATAAATAAAAATCTTTATAAAAAAAAAACAACTCATTAAAACAAATCTCATAGGTCTTTGATCTTATGTCCATTACCTGGCTTCCCTTCCTGAACCACCTCTACATGATTATTTTCTAAAAGAAGAAATCAGGCTAACTAAGGCACAGTCTCCTAGTCATTTCTCAGCTCTGTCTGCATCATAAACATGAGGAAAAAGGGATCATGGTAAGAGATTTGGATTTTCATTCCTTAGCTCTATAACAGATATTTTATTTTATTTTATTTTTTTTTAAAGATTTTATTTATTTATTTGGCAGACAGAGATCACAGGTAGGCAGAGAGACAGGCAGAGAGAGAGAGAGAGAAGGAAGCAGTCTCCCTGCTGAGCAGAGAGCCCGATGCGGGGCTCGATCCCAGGACCCTGGGATCATGACCCGAGCTGAAGGCAGAGGCTTTAACCCACTGAGCCACCCAGGCGCCCCTATAACAGATATTTTAAAAATACGTATTGGTTTACACATATAACACCCAAAAATACACTAACAAATTATACAATTACTAATAAAAACAAATCTGGAAAGATAGCAATAAATCCAAGTGGTTGGGAAAACTAAGCATAAAAGAATGACCTTTAATATAAAATTGTAAGTACAAAGATGTTTGATAATAGAATATTTAGCCAATTTCTTACATTATAATTTGGAGAGTACCAATTTCAGTTACAATAAGTACATGGGACAATATATGGAAACAATTATACTTCTGGAGTTTATGGTTCTAGTTTATATTTCCAGTTTCATCACTTTATTTTGTACTTAGGATCTAACAATATTATGGATCATATTTAAGTAGCAATGTTAATATTTTCAGTAGTGCGGGGCACCTGGGTGGTTCAGTGGGTTAAGCCTCTGCCTTCGGCTCAGGTCGGGGTCTCAGGGTCCTGGGATCGAGCCCCGCATTGGGCTCTTTGCTCAGCAGGGAGCCTGCTTCCCCCTCTCTCTCTGCCTGCTACTCTGCCTACTTGTGATCTCTCTCTCTCTGCGTCAAATAAATAAATAAAATCTAAAAAAAATATTTTCAGTAATGCAATCAGTATCAGGATACTGTCACTTTCCCTGTAAGAACATGATTTAAAAAATTTTTACTACTTCCTTTTCACATTCTGGGATCCAGTAGAAGACATTACACGGATAATGAAAGAAAAATATGTAATTACCTTAAAAAACTACTATATAGCAAATTTTGTTAGAGATAGTCTTTTTATTAAATGAAGGCCACATGTATTCATGTAATTACATATAATACAAAATGTCCTATAAGGGAATAGTTTGATATTTTATAGTATATATAGTATATATACATATACAATGGAATACTATCAACCATTAAAAATTGTGTTTAAAGAAAGACATGGTAAAATGATTATAATACAATAATAAAAATTAGGATGTAATACTATGTAAATAGAGAATTCCAACCTTATATAATATATACACATACATAAAAAACAAAAAAATGTTAAAAATATACTGATAGTGGGTTTTAGTGATTATTTTTGTTGTAGAATACAGGCAATATTAATTTTTTTCTTTTCTCATTTTTTTGTATTTTCCAAATATCTTACAGCATATAAAAATTAAATTTTGTGTAATTTAAGATGCTCAACTTTTTAAAACTCTTTCAGAGGAACACAACGTAAACATAGCTAAAATCTTCATAGAACCAAGAGGCCAGTTTTGTGGGTTGTCCCTATCATATCCTATGTCCTAGGAAGTAATAGTAGCGCCTGGGTGGCTCAGCTGGTTAAGCCTGGGATATAATAAGCATTATTAATGTATGTGCTTTTAAAATACCATGCTAAATGTACAGAATTTCCTGTTCATCTTGACATAAAATATGTTTTGCTTTTTCTCAAGAATAATAACCATAGTATGGAAATGAATAGATAATATCTAAATTTTATTGAATATGATATTCTTATTTTTAAAAATTAAAATTTACATGTGGCCCTAGAAAGGAAACCATATATCAAATTGTTTACAATTATTATCTTTGTTGGTGATAGTTAAGGAGAGTCATGGATAGTAATTACAGAGTCTTTTTATGTTTTTTTCACCATGTTTCAGTTGTTTATAATAAGCATACATTCTCTTTGAAATCAGAAAAAAATAATTAAAAATAAGTAAAAGCTTAACAAAAACAAATAAGTTGTAGAAATAGGATATTTTTATAAGATATTTATTTCAGCCTCTGGTGTAATTTAAGTTCATGTGCCTTAAACCAGAAATACATATATAGTATTTTTTAACACATTTATTTTTTCTCTAGAATTTCTCGATGGCAAAGAAATTAAAAATATGGAAAGACAATTCCTAATAAATTGGAAAGCATCCAAAGATGCCAAGAAAATCAGCAAGAAAAGGAACAGTAAAACAAAGGATACAGGTAACTCATACTAGGTAAGCAAGCTGTCATTCATTAGTTAATCCTTCTACTAAAGGAGAGACTATTCTAGTCAACAACAATAACAACAACAACAACAAATGCCAAGAAATAAGAGGCTTTTGTTTAGATTTTTTGTTTAAGATTTGGGGGTTTTTTTTAAACTTATTTACAATTCCTAGGAAATTTTACCTATAATGTTTACATATGAAAATGATAGCTACTGTTAACAAAACTATGTTTGGTTCATATTGAGTTTGTGTCAGCTATGAAAACAGAGCCATGGGGTAGAGGAAAATGTATAATCTTATATCTGACAAAAGTGCATGATATTAATTATGCAAATGGTGAAACAATCAGCTATGTAAACTGTAAAACCTAAGTCACACACTAAACATTATGTGTGTTTAGCAGCAGTGCAAAAATCTCAGTTTCCATCAATATAAAAATGTATGACAACCACATCTGTGACCTATACTCTGTAACCTGTCCCCCTCTTTTTAAAAAAATTTATTTATTTGACAGACAGAGAGAGAGATCACAAGTAGGCAGAGAGGCAGGCAGAGAGGGTGGCGGGGGCGGGGGGGGGGGAGCAGGCTCACTGCTGAGCAGAGAGCCTGATGCGGGGCTCGATCCCAGGACTCTGAGATCTTGACTTGAGCCAAAGGCAGAGGCTTAACCCACTTAACCCACTTAACCTAGGCAACCCCCCTTTTTTATGTACATGCCCTAACACTTGACTATTTTGTTCATGTTATGCTTAAGGTTACAATACAAAGGACAGGTCAACTTCCCTTGCTTAACTTATGCAACTAAATGCAGCCAAGTGTAACAGGTAACAATTATCTTTATCATACTTGGGAACATCCTAGAATTCATTCTTCACAGATTCTATAGTCTACAACATTGGAATGAACCTCTTCCTCTGTTCCATGAAGTGTCTGAATGCTAATGGTCCTCCTATTTCACAGCTAATGGGATGGGTTTGTAGAAAGGCGTTAGGCCGAGAGAATAGGGGAAGGGAAGCTCTAATAGTGTAGTAAGGCTTCATGCATGGATACCATATCCTAGGAGCTCTGCCACTCTAGAATAAGGAGGTTGAGGTGAGGAGAAGCGAAGGTAAAAAGGCAAGGAGCTCTGTCTGTCAAATAAACAAATAAAAAAAAAAAACTTTAAAAAAATAATTTTAATTTAAAAATGTTCTTAATGTAAATTTTTAAAAGTCGTATAGAATGTTACATAGTACAGAAGTATCATTTCATACCTTCCTATACTTGGTATTATAATGATCATTAATAATTTAAAATAGAAAGCACTCTGGTCTAGGAGACAAAGAAGAATGGGTAAGGGAAGAGGTAATTTTTTTTTTTTTTTTAGTTTCTATTGTTTCTTTATTATTACTACCGATTAGTGTTATTCTTCTTTTTTTTTTTTAATTTTATTTTTTATAAACATATAATATATTTTTATCCCCAGGGGTACAGGTCTGTGAATTGCCAGGTTTACACACTTCACAGCACTCACCATAGCACATACCCTCCCCAGTGTCCATAATCCCACCCCCCCTCCCAACCCCCCTCCCCCCATCAACCCTCAGTTTGTTTTGTGAGATTAAGAGTCACTTATGGTTTGTCTCCCTCCCAATTCCATTTTGTTTCATTTGCTCTTCTCCTACCCCCTTAACCCCCCATGTTGCATCTCCTCTCCCTCATATCAGGGAGATCATATGATAGTTATCTTTCTCCGATTGACTTATTTCGCTAAGCATGATACCCTCTAGTTCCATCCATGTTGTCGCAAATGGCAAGATTTCATTTCTTTTGATGGCTGCATAGTATTCCATTGTGTATATATACCACATCTTCTTTATCCATTCGTCTGTTGATGGACATCTAGGTTCTTTCCATAGTTTGGCTATTGTAGACATTGCTGCTATAAACATTCGGGTGCATGTGCCCCTTTGGATCACTACGTTTGTATCTTTAGGGTAAATACCCAGCAGTGCAATTGCTGGGTCATAGGGTAGTATTTTCAACATTTTGAGGAACCTCCATGCTGTTTTCCAGAGTGGTTGCACCAGCCTGCATTCCCACCAACAGTGTAGGAGGGTTCCCCTTTCTCTGCATCCTTGCCAGCATCTGTCATTTCCTGACTTGTTAATTTTAGCCATTCTGACTGGTGTGAGGTGATATCTCATTGTAGTTTTGATTTGTATGGGAAGAGGTAATTTTTACTGTGCTAAACATTTCAGATATCTATAAATATCACTGCATTTAATCATTATAACCTATGGCAAAGATAATTATTATATCCATTTTTTTAGATGAGAAAGCTGAGTTTTAGAAAGATGAAATAACTTATCTAAGGTCACAAAGATAGCAGTGATTAATCAAAAGTATTTAACTTTATCAAACAGCTTTGGTTTCTAGTGACTGCTCTAGCAATGACTGGCTGAATTATGCTTGGATATAAAGACAATGATGTCTCCTCTACTTAGAAATTCACTTCAGATTGGTGGGAATTTAGGAAAATCTTCAGATGAGTAAATATGTAATATTATAAACAAATAATTTTAATAAATAAAAAGGAACTACAGAGAAAATTGGATAATATAAAAAACTTAAGTATTCTAATATATTATATGATTTACTATATTGAAAAATAAACTCTAAGGTCAATGAAAATACAATTGAAATTGAAAATTGATTAGCTGCAAGAGAAAATTATCTGAATTTTCTTCAGAAGTAGTTATTCTCCCTTGGCCACTTGTAGATATCCTCTCTCACCTCCTACAAGTTTGCCATTTTCATCCAAACACAATGACACAGTTCTGAGCCTTGCAGGCTTAACATCAGTGACATCTGTGGATACATGTATGTAGCACATGATAACTCTATCCTTAGGTCTGTTGCCAACAACTTAACACTGTGGTCTTTATACTAAGGCTCTGTTATTATTTCTCAAAAGAAATGGAAAGCATGAATTAAAGTCTAGAAGATATGTATTTTTAAAATCTACAATATACCTTCAGGTCTTTAGAAGAACTAAGATGAAACTTTAAAGACACCCTTATCCAACCAAATCCATTATAAGTGAACAGGAATTCTCAGGAAGATAGTAATTTCTATACTTCCTGACCTTTTACATATTTTTGATAGCCTTATAAATTTGGATCTCTATGTCGGGGATTATGACAAGATTATAGGGATTATAACTTCAGACTTCAAGGATCTTATGATAAAAAATCTTGTCTTAAATATAGCCAATAACTATGTAACTCAAATTTGGAAACAAAATCAAACACTTTAACAAAATCCAAAATATATGCATATCTTTTAGCATATACTTACGTAGTGCTTCTATGGAAACATTCATTTATTCATTTAATAAATACTTATTGGGCACCTTGGATATACACAGAACTATGCTAGACCCTGGACTTAGAGGTGAATAAAATAGTCCCCACTTAAAAGGAAATAACTGCTGGAAAGGGAGGAGGATTTGTCAATAGGGAAATGATGTAGAATGTTACATGCCAAAATAAAGGTATGAACACCCTCCAAAAACTATATGTAACTAATCTATTCCCTAAAGGTTAAACACTCTGAAAAACTAAACTCAGAACAGCAGGATGCAAGGGCAGTTAATATGCAGTTAATATTTATATTAATGTTGGTGTACCCATTTTGGCTATAAAAGCTGACCATAAACATTCCTGGATAAGTTTTTATGTATGCAAGTCTATGATATTTTATCTGGGATATTGAGTTTTTAATTGGTCTTATTTTGGATCTATTTAACTTTAATTCCGTTTGATAAATTATAACTTTGGATAATCTAATGCTATCATAGGACATAGTACTAAATTACAATTTAGTTACTAGTTTCAAAGCAGAACCTTTAAACTCTTTGTACACTACAAGTAAATTTGGAACAATGCATCACATAGTTCCTCTTTATTACCCACAGGTGCGTAAGCCAAAATTAGACTTTTTCTCTGATATATAGAGATACCTTCCAAATGGAAATGCATCCACACAAAGCTCCCAAGAATATAACCTTAAAATTATTGAAGATATGGGGTAGATTCTTTCAAGTATTTGTGTGATCTTTCTTTTTTGGGATGGGACATCCTGTCAACAACACAGAGGAAGAGAGCCCCTCTGTCTTATTCTTGGGTCTCAATTCTTGATCAATCACCTGCCCCCTGCCCAAAAAAAGTTCATTTTTGGTCTATCCAAATAACCACACAGTTGTAATAGTACTAGTACTAGTTCAAGAAGAGCTAGGAGTCACAGATTGGATATAATCACTGAGGTAGGGCAAGTGACTCAGGACAATCCCAGAAGCAGATAAATATGTCTGAATGAGCAGGGATCATACCAAAGGAGCCTGAGGCCTAGTTGACAATGGGTGGTCCACTAGTGAACAGAAGGCTATGCCAAGGGTAACTAGTGGCAGAAAGGAGGGGCAATCCAGAGTATTACAGAGGTAGGCTACTATCACCACTTCTCCAGACCAAAAGTTCTTAATCTGATGTCCCTGAAGGAGAAGCTTCATTAGATTCTCAAAGGGGTTTGTAATCTAAAAAAAATAGTTGAAGAGTCACTATTCTAAACCTTGAGTATATGCATAATGTAGCTCCATATGAATCAGACCTAAGTTTCTTCATAAGGAGAAAAATGTTTTCTTAGTTTTAAAAAATGGTATTGCTTCTGGGGCGCCAGGGTGGCTCAGTGGGTTAAAGCCTCTGCCTTAGGCTCAGGTCATGATCCCAGGGTCCTGGGATCGAGCCCCGCATCGGGCTCTCTGCTAAGTGCAGAGCCTGCTCCTCTCTCTCTCTCTCTCTCTCTCTCTCTCTGCCTGCCTCTCTGCCTACTTGTGTTCTGTCTGTCAAATAAATAAATAAAATCTTTTTAAAAATAAAAAATGGTATTGCTTCAATATAAAGATAAATCATCCCTGAAAATAAGTTCATTTATTCACAAAATGAAGAGGCACCTGCTATAGGCTGGGC